TAATGAAACAAGGATACATATAGAGACTCTTAATAAAAAAAATTAAAATTAAAATTAAAATTAAAAACATAATAATAAAGAGAAAGATTCTCCAGTCAAATGAAGTTGACATTTTGAACTTCACGGGTCCTCCAACTCCCAACCATGCTTAGTTGCAATTTGTCGTTTCCTTTCAAGCACCGTGTGCAAAATACCTCCAGTCAAATGAGCATCGCGCCGGAAAAATACTCCATATCTTGGTTCTCTATACTCCCGATCCAACAGTTGAGCTTTTCGTTCTTCATTAGCTTCGAGAATGCACAACTTTTGTTCCCGGTACCGTTGTCTCTGTTCTGCCTCTGTTTCGGTTGTAGTCTTGATGCCGACAATTTGTTTGACGAGATCAAACATTTCATTTTCTGTTGATGATGTCGATGCCGCTTTCTTGCTTTTCGTTTTCTCTGAGGTTGTGAGTCCGTCAAACCTAAACGACTGTTGTTGGTTGGGGAGAATCCAGGAGGATGTGGATCAGATGATGATGTGTAGCGTTGGAGGAAGATGTTTAGTTCGTTTTGAAGAATGAGGCAGGGAGTCTTCACCCGCTTTTGTAACAAATGCCCATTTCGCGTTCTTTTCAACCACTCCCAAGCTTATTGATGAGGAAAACCTTTCTGGTTAATAGTCCTCCGATACTCGCTTAGTGAAGATTGTAAAACATCAACCTCAGATCTCCCACTAGCCGCACTGCTCATCTTACGATTATAGATACCGTTGAAAGCATTACATTTCTTTTGGAGGTCTTTCCATTTTGAGTTTACTTGGTGTCGTGACTGATCCGAACCTCCCATTTGAACATTACAATGCTCTAGAACCCTCTCCCAAAATGCATCAAACCTTTGTTGATTTCCGCGTTGTTTATCTTTAGAAACATCGACATATGCCCTAGCCAAAGCCAACTCTCCGCTTTCCACCACCCAAATCTTTTGCTTCTGGCGGTGTGGTATAGTTGTGTTTTTCTCCTCAGCAACGGGTTGCAACTCCTCGCTGGTTTCTTCTTCGTTTCTTTCAGGAGTCGGGTCGTCACTAAAACTTTCAGATTCTTCATTCTGAGCATCACGAAACTGGAAATTATCGGGTTGAGAAGATTGGAATTGGGTTTCTGGAACTCTTTGAGAAAACCGATTCCATGGATTATAACTCTGATTTTCTTCTGGAAGCTTAAATGTTGGGAATATTAGGGTTTGTAGTGGAGATCTGGATACCGACTTGGATCGTGATATCACTTTCCGAACTGATATTTCTACCTATGCCTGGGTTACAAGAAATTCAGCCTAGGATCCAAGTGGACACTTACGATTCTAGGCACAGAAATCGTAAGCCAATATGCTAGAGGATGATGTGAAAGTGTGATGAAAAACGAGAGCTTAAGATCGTCCACCCTCTTCTGAAAAGAAGAGCTGTTTATATAATAAACGATATTAGGGTTTAATTAGGTTGGGCCGTCATTAGTTGCTTTGGAAGAAAGTATTATTAATCCCGATTTAATGAGGATTTAGGGTTCCCAAAACTAACGAGTTTCGTTAGTTTTACCATAAACACCCTCAAGAAATTGAATTTTCCACTAAGGTCCCATATGTAAAATTCGGTGAGGTTCAGCGGGACCCCATCCAGGGGCTCTTCCCCTTGGACCCCGCTAGGGGCGCTGCCCCTAGACCCCGCCAAAGGGGCGCTGTCCCTTTGGAAACCCCGGACCCGGGGGCGCTGCCCCCGGACCCCCGACTAGTCGTCGAACCGGCTTCTAATTCGATCTTATACATGCGTGCAGTCCGCACAACCCCCGTACATATAATATAGTACAAATTATGAAGCCCCTTAGCTCACATGTTAGTTCCATTTACTTAAAATGATATGGTGACACTAAAATCACCAACAATCCTCCCCCATTTTAGTGTAACCCTTGAACAAACATAACCTTTATCAAACAAACCAAACTAGTACATAATGAAAATATTGAAACGATTGAATTTCCACTTAGTATCATACATTTGCAAAATACTCGAGAATCAGGGTGTTCTAAGAATTGAACCCATCAACCCATTTGAATACCAGAAAGTAAAATACATACTAGTTTATTGAATTTCTAGCAAATTACAACTTGACACTATTATAAAGCCGTGTGTCCCAATCCTCTCATGATCGTATCAAGGTCAAGTCCACAACCTCTTGAAATGCGGTTACACTTCACAATCACGTAGGTAACTCCTTTCCATGTATCTGCAAATACATTTATCAAAGGAATTATTAAGAAGTTAAACTTCAACCTGGCTAACATGCAGAACCGAACACATACCTGGGATGAATATTTCATGTGTTCCAATCTATAAGTATGAGCTTTCCACATTGAATTCAACTCCTAACATTATATTAGAAGGGAATTGGGTGTCTCCTCATTATAGAATTAAATGGACTTTAATCCCATCCCGATTACAGACTTGTGCACTAAGTCTCTTGTCAGACCTTTAGTCAAGTGATCTGCCAAATTTTGTTGCGATTTCACAAACTCAACCGAAATCACACCATTCATGATTAGTTCTCTAATCATACTATGTCTAACACCTAAGTGTCTAGACTTGCCATTATAAACCTGGCTATATGCCTTAGCCAAAGCGGCTGCACTATCACAAAGGATAGAAATAGGTGTTATCGGTTTAGACCACAAAGGAATCTCATAGACTAAATTCCTTAGCCACTCTGCTTCTTTACCAACAGCTGCTAACGCAACAAACTCATATTCCATTGTCGAGTTTGTAATGCAAGATTGCTTCTTGGAAGCCCAAGAAATGACACCTCCCCCAAGCAAGAATACCCAACCAGAAGTTGAGGAATGGTCCTCCATGTTGGTTATCCAACTTGCATCCGAATGACCTTCTAAAACCGAAGGACTCCCCAAGTAACTCAAACCATAATTCATAGTTCCCTTGAGATACTTAAAAACTCTATTCACTGCTTGCCAATGTTGAGCACTAGGATTACTAGTATACCTGCTCAACTTACCCACAACAAAAACAATATCAGGTCTGGTACTTGTCATGGCATACATCAAGCTACCAATAGCCTTAGAGTATTCCAATTGTGAAATGGGAACACCATTATTTGGCATTAATTTCATACTTGGATCCATAGGAGTACTCACAGGAGAACAATCGGTAAAATTAAACCGCTTGAGAATTTTCTCAATATAATGACTTTGAGTCATTACCAGACCTTTGTTCATCCTTTTAATTCTTATTCCAAGAATTACATCAGCCTCTCCTAAATCTTTCATTGAAAACTTAGATGATAACAATTTCTTTGTTTCATCTACTTGATTTTGTGTCGGTACCAAAAATCAACATGTCATCTACTATAAGCAAATGATCACACCGGCTTTAGTAGCATCATCAAATCTACTATAAACACATTTGTCACATTGGTTTGTTTTGAAACCAGAAGACAAAATAACCTCATCAAATTTTTGATGCCATTGTTTAGGCGCTTGTTTCAGCCCATACAAAGATTTGACAAGTTTACAAACCATATGCTCTTTACCGGGCATAATAAAACCTTCAGGTTGTTTCATGTAAACTTCCTCGTCAAGATCACCATTTAAAAAGGCTGTTTTCACATCCATTTGGTGAATAACCAGATTGTGAATACTTGCCAAGGCAATCAACAATCTAATAGTAGCAATACGTGCAACTGGAGCATATGTATCAAAATAGTCAATACCAGGTTTTTGTCTAAAACCTTGAATGACCAACCGGGCTTTGAACTTATCAATAGTCCCATTAACATTCATTTTCTTTTTGAAAATCCGTCTGCAATCAAGTGGTTTAGAACCTGGATGCAAATCAGACAACACCCATGTGTTCTTCTCAAGAATTGAAGACATTTCATCATCAATTGCTTCCTTCCAAAAGGCACTATCACGAGACTCCATGGCCTCTTGATAAGTCGTAGGATCATCTTCAATACTATAGCAATAAGTATATTCAAGATTAATTTCATCCCTTGAACCTTCCACCAAATACAGTTGGAAGTCGGATCCGAAATTTTTCGCAATTTGGCCTCTTTTGCTTCTACAAATCTCTTGTGGTTCTTGCACATTACCACCATCTTGAATTTCTGAATTTCGCTCCTTATTAGCATCAAAAGTCAGATCCTTAGGCCTTTGAATCGATGAAAACCGCATCTCATCAAAAATTGCATCTCGTGATTCGATAACAGTGTTAACCTAAACCGAATCATTAGGTTCTATTACATAAAACCTATATGCCTTGGAATGTTCAACATATCCAATGAATATACAATCAATTGCACGTTCTCCCAAATTTCTCTTTTTGGGCTCGGTGAGTTTTACAACTGCCCGACATCCCCAAACCCGAAAATAACTCAAATTCGGCTTTTTCTTGAACCAAAGTTCATATGGGACTGTTTTGTTCCTTTTATTTGGAACCCTATTTAATAAATAGCAGGCCGTTAACATGGCCTCTCCCCAGAATCCTTCACTCAATCCCGAGTATGACAACATCGAGTTTACCATTTCCTTTAAAGCTCGATTTTTACGTTCAGCAATACCATTCTATTGGGGTGTGTAAGGTGTCATGGTCTCATGAATGATACCCACTGATTGGAAGTATATGGGATCCATATATTCACCTCCCCTATCAATCCTGAGACATTTAACCGGAATGCCCAATTGCAATTCCACCTCGGTTTTGTATATTTTGAATTTATCTGAGGCTTCATCCTTAGAATGCAACAAATACACATAGCAAAACCGAGTGCAGTCATCAATAAAAGTGATCACATATTTTTTATTTCCCAAAGAAGGAGAGGAGTGGAAATCACACAGGTCACTGTGTACAAGTTCCAAAACAGTTGAATTTCTAGTGACACTAGGAAATGGCTGTTTTGTCACTTTTGTAAGCATGCATGTTTTACATTTATCAGATGTCATATCAAAGGATGGAATTAATCCATCTTTTGACATCTCATGCATCCTTCAAAAGTTGACATGACCTAATCTTACATGCCAAAGCATAGATTTATCAACATTAGAAGCAGAAGATACAAATGCAGAATTCTGAACAAGTAATAATTTGTCAACAATATTCAAACAAAACATTCTATTATTTAAATATCCAAAGCCAACAAACATTCCACCCTTAGACAAAACAAACTTATCTGACTCAATAACTTGTTTAAAACCATCAGAATTCAAACAACTAGCTAACACAGATTCTTGCGAATCTTGGGAACAAACAAAACATCAAATAACCTAATTGTCTTTCCAGAAGTAAATTCAAGACACACGACACCTAAACCACAAATAGGAATAAAATAATCGTCTCCCATTTTCAGCACCGACCCATCTTCAAGCGGAGTTAATGTTTCAAACATCCGTTTATCCTTGCATACATGGTTCGTTGCACCGGAGTCGATCCACCAAGCAACATCATCATCCTGCACATAGAATGATTCAGGGATAAATGAAACATAATAAACATAATTCTGATTAGAATTATCAAAGTTAGTCAAAAACTGACCTCCTTTAACTTGGGCCGAAGACCCGTTCACTTTCCCATTGGCTCCACTGTTTCCAGCACCATTGTTGCCCAAATTCACACGACAATCACACTTGCAATGCCCAACTTGATTGCACCTCCAACAAACTAGATCCTTTCTCTTTTTGTTGGAGTTGCTTGGGGCATATTCCTGATTACGTTTGCCATGTCCTTTGTGGTTTTGGTTCCTTGGTTTGTTTTCAACCATATGAACCGAGGGCTGTCCAAGTTCAACTTTTCCTTTGGGTTTTTCAGATTTGTCACTTTCCTTCGCACGAAGAGATTCTTCAATACGAATGTGACTAGCAAGTTGAACCAATGATAGTTCCTCCTTTTGATGTTTCAAGTTATGTTTGAAGTCTTTCCAGGACGGAGGCAGTTTGTCAATGATAATGGACACAGCAATGGATTCATCCATATTCATACGGTGCAGTTTAAACTGACCGTATATGCCAATGAGTTCATTGTACTTCTCAGTGACAGAACTTGAACCTTCCATCTTAAAATTATTAAAGTCACTGACCAGAAACTTCTTGCTAGAAGCATCCTCAGTAATGTATTTCAGTTCAAGGGTGTCCCATAACTCCTTGGCACACAAGGCTTCACTATGGATATCAAATAATGCATCAGACATACCGTTCAGAATGTGACCTTTGCAGATGTAGTCATCACTGTCCCACTTCTGTCTCTTTCTTGTCTCTTCAGCTATCTCAACAACACCTTCTGCAGGCTCTGCTGGTCTTGGAGTAGTCAGCACGTATGCTGCTTTCAGAGTAGTCAGCATGAAGTGCATCTTCTTCTTCCAACGCCTGAAGTCGACACCTTCGAACTTCTCTAGTTTGACAAACTTGGTAGTCATCTCGCGGATTGAGTCACCCATCTCCAGGAACAGAAAACATCAGTTCGATTGTTGGGAATATTAGGGTTTGTAGTGGAGATCTGGATACCGACTTGGATCGTGATATCACTTTCCGAACTGATATTTCTACCCTATGCCTGGGTTACAAGAAATTCAGCCTAGGATAATCCAAGTGGACACTTACAACTCTAGGCACAGAAAACGTAAGCCAATATGCTAGAGGATTCTGTGAAAGTGTGATGAAAAACGAGAGCTTAAGATCGTCCACCCTCTTCTGAAAAGAAGAGCCGTTTATATAATAAACGATATTAGCGTTTCATTAGGTTGGGCCGTCATTAGTTGCTTTGGAAGCAAGTAATATTAATCCGGATTTAATGAGGATTTAGAGTTCCCAAAACAAACGAGTTTCGTTAGTTTTACCATAAACACCCTCAAGAAATTGAATTTTCCACTATGGTCCCATATGTAAATTCGGTGAGGTTCAGCGGGACCCCATCCAGGGGCTCTGCCCCTTGGACCCCGCTAGGGGCGCTGCCCCTAGACCCCGCCAAAGGGGCGCTATCCCTTTGGAAACCCCGGACCTGGGGGTGCTGCCCCCGGACCCCCGACTAGTCGTCGAACCGGCTTCTAATTCGATCTTATACGTGCGTGCACTCCGCACAACCCAGTACATATAATAGAGTAAAAATTATGAGGCCCCTTAGCTCACATGTTAGTTTCAGTTACTTAAAATGACATGGTGACACTAAAATCACCAACATTAAATGTGTTGTAAGATTGTTGCACCGGAAAATATTGTTGTTGGTAGTTTTGGTTTTGTTGATAGTTTTGGTAGTTTTGGTATTGCTGATAGTTTGGATTTTGAAAATCTTGAGAAAAAAGTGGAATATCTTGACTTGAACCGCCTTGTGTGGCTTTGTGTTGTTGGCTAGAACTAATTTGTTTAGCTTTGCCTCGGGAATCCATTGAATGTAACCGAAGGAATTGAATGAAATATAAAATTTTCCAGAAATAAAAACACTACAAATCATTAAAATATGTATCCATCTTTATAAACATACCACATCTTTGTTTTACAAACTTAAAACAAAAAAGAAAAAATAAATATATAAATAAGTACAAAAAAGGGACGTATGAATGAATATGGTCAAAGTCACATGAATTCAAAAGAATAAAATAGATAGGAGAATCAATTCTCTCTCTGTGTGTATTGAATTGTATCAGGTGCATTGAATTGTTTTTTATTGTAATTTTCAGAAAAAAAGAAAAAAAACTAGAATTAAATGAACTTTAAGTATTCTATTATATAAATTCTATACAAACTTTTATATATATATATATATATATATATATATATATATATATATATATATATATATATAAAAGTTTGTATAGAATTTATAAATCCAACGTATACAATTAAATATAATTAAAGTAGATAGGGAAAGGAATTAACGCTTTTGGAAGGAATCTCTGCATGTATGTCACATGCATTAAAACTATCGGTCAAATGTACAGTGGTTCATACAGTCAAAAGTGCAGTGGGTGCAGTGGGTTCGTGAAACCATTTAAGTGCATTAAAATGTTGAAACCGGTGAAGCCGCATGTTCAGGTAAGGTTTCCCGGCGGTACCCTGGTACCTCCCCATCCCATGGTCCAAACCGCAAACGACTCTGTCTACCCTTAGCCACTCTAAAAGCCCTGTCGGCTCCATCACCACCATGTCATCGCCTGCAGTGAACAACTCTCACCACAAATCTAGAACCATCGTTGCCTCCATCTCCTTCCCACTACCATTTACCACCACTACTACCTTTATCACATCCTACCAACATAATCTCTATTTAAGGAAAACCTTGACCACCAAACGCCTCCCACCGCTCCCCACAATAATCGTCGTCGCTTCTTCCTCCTTCCCTGGCCATAACTACCATCATCGTTGAACCATCACCCATCTTCTACCATTCTACAACCGTCTCTCTATTTTCCAGTCATCCAACACATTCAGTCAAATTCTTCTCTCAAACTACTACCATCCAAAAGCCCTAATGCCAACGCACCTCCCATTCCCCAACCACATGTGTCGGCTCCAATGTTACCAGCTGTAAAATCTCAAATACCATCCACCACACTAGAAACGCTAACGCCACTGTCGAATATCTACCCCTCTTCTAAGGGATCATTAATTCCCTTACTTTTAAAAAATCTGAATTTTTTAAATTAATTCTAATTAAATTTTAATATATTACTTTTAATAATAACCGATTTTATTCTGTTAGAATGACAAAAAGTCAACAATAAAGTAGTAAATATATTTGTGGTTTTATTATTGCAGAATATTGTTTCATTCAAGATACTTTTTATATTAAACATGCTTAAAGAATTATACAACATATTATCAAGAATAACATTTTGTAAAGAATACGGATTTTATTCTTTAAGAATCACTATTTACATTCATCAGTAAAGAAAAAGAGTATAAACAATTATTACAATCATTCTAAAAAAATTATGACTAATAATGGTTTAAGGATTACATTTATTCTTAAAGATTAAAACTAAAAATGGTTAAAAAAGAAAAAACATCAAAATCTAACAAAACATCACTCTATTCCGAAAAAATATTATTGTTAAGAAACAATTTATAAATTCTGACAGAATACATTCTGTTAGAATACAATATCGTTCTCCATGTTTTCTTCATTTTCCACATTAATGGCAACCTCTTCAAAACCTAAATTCACAAGGAAAACATAATCAACTTTCAAATATTAAAATTTTTAATGCATTAAATAGAATAAAACAATAAATTCTAATAGAATGTGATATACATTCAAATAGAATATAACTATAATTTCTGCAAACCAACAATCATCCCTAAACTTGCAATGTATATTATTCTGAAAGAATGTAATGTTTCATTATTTAGGATGTCATTCTATAAGAATCAAGACCAATAACAAGAATAGAAACCAATTTTATTCTGACAGAATTGGTTACGGTAATTCACTGCTTAAGGTGACAAGTAATTCAAGATTCTATTCTGACAAAATTCGAATTCGATATTCCATTCTAGCAGAATGAACGACATTAAGATGCATTAAAAAAACCTAACAATCTAAATAGAAAAAAGACTATGAAATTGAAATAGCAGGATACATAGAATGCATAAACATATATACTTATCTGTTGGTTAAAAAACTGATGATTGTGTTCCAAAATCAAAATAAAAAAGCAATTGGATTAAAATCTATTTCCAGGATTAAGGTAAATAATTTCTACAGTTAAACACAAGTTACTACATCACATAAACAATCTTTTGTTTTCCAGTTACAAATACCTAGATTTCAACTATGCATTTTATCGAACACGTGGTGCGCTTCTTCAGTTTCTTCAAAAAAAAATTAGGGAGAGTCTTACCAATTCAGTTTCTTGGTGGTTGGGAACTGGAGATACGGAATACGACTTCTACGACTTCGGGTATTCAACAGCAGAAAACGTTTGGGCCTCTAGAATTGATGGCTCCTCTTCAATCATCATGTCGCCATTGATTGCGACATCCATGGAGTTGATAACTCCTTCTGTACATAATTGCTTGGTTCTGAACAACCGCATTCCCAACTGCATTCCCAACTGCAGCTTCGAATAAATATAATTGAAATCACGTATTCGGTACCTGCATAGTTTCTTCAAGCCCTTTGGTTACTTGAAGAATGAAGAATTTGGTGGTGGTGTGTATGTGCGAGTGGTGATCGGCGATGGAGATGATGGTGAAACTGTGAAGCCGATTTCTTTTTCTTTTGTAGATGAAGAATACGTGAGATAAAAGAAAGATATTAGGTCAAAACTAATTATTTTGTTTCCTTAATTAAAGGGATTTAATTAAATGACCCCATTAATTGAATGTGTCAAAAACCCAAAAATAGCCTTATTCATTTAATAAATTATTTAATTATTTGCTAAATTGTGATTGGTGCATTTAGGAACACAATATTTGCTAGAAACATTTGAACCTAGCTCTCTCTCTCTCTCTCTCTCTCTCTATATATATATATATATATATATATATATATATATATATATACACATACACATGGGTTACTGAATATGTGGCTGTCATGTATGTAAAGTTACGTATAGAACCTATCAAAACTACAGAGATTTAGATAAAATTTGATTTAAAAAATTCTTTAATTCTTTAATTTGATTTTGTAGGAATAATATTACGGAAATGTACGAAAACAAATAAGAAATAGGAAAAAGTTGAGGCATGTGTTTAACATATTGTCTTTAAAACAAATTCGCCCACTATCGGGTGTTTGTTTCCCAGGATACAGCAACTAGAAGTGGTTCTTCTAGACCACCCGAACCCTCATTAGGCCTGAATTTTACCTTCAATATAGCTAGAAAAAGAAGAAGATGAAGTGGGGAAGAAGAGAGTTTTCTTGCATTCTTTTTGGTCTCTTCAAATGGTTGTAGATAGTGGTATTTATACTACACATTCTATAACCTCCCATTTAAACACCTCTATTAATCACAAAGATTAATGCGTGTTAGTATGTAATTAAATTGTAATATTAATTACAATTTCAGTTACGAAAGAAAGAAATATTTGCAAGAAAGGTGCCTAGACTTTTCTTTTCTTTCTCCCAACCATTAAACTATTTTATTTACTTCTTCCAACACCCTTACTTGAAGGATTAATTTCTCCTTCATAGAAATCCATTTTGGACGTGTTAAAAAAATGGGAAAACCCACTTTTATAAATTGGTTAACACCAATTTTCCAACAATCCCCCACATGAATGAAAATTGATTAAGCATTTTCAAGCTACCTAGATAAAATCCAACAGTTGAATCATGCATAGGATAGGTAGGTGTTACCCTTTGAACCTTCCCTTAAGATACATATTTATTTTACTAGCAAACCAGTAGACTCGATGTCCTTGAACTGTTCTGCCGTTTGTGTAAATAATCAATATGTGTCTCACATGATTTCTCCCTGACCTAGTTAGGTTCTCATTGATGTGTCCGTTATGGTCATGGACACTTGCCTGGTTCTGTAAGAGCTCTTAGGAATGTGCCCATACAATTCCTTTTGAAGCGACCCCACTTCTCTCTCACATAGGTGATTCTATAATAATCATTAAAAGCTAATTCGTGATGATTTCCAATTTATCATCCACGACTATAAGCTTAACCTGCATCACTGTTTGTTTTAGGAATGGGTTGGGGTTAACCCCCACAGTGATTCACAAATGTTATATGCAAGTAGGTTGTCTCATTGAACCTAGATCTTGGGATCTCCAGTCAACTAGGTTGGGTTTTCCTTCGCAATAACTTATTAATCTATGGGTTTTAGTCCCATTCCTCATAACGACCTCTCATTCCAAGCATTTTGTTAACGGATCCGCAATCTTATTTTTACTTTATGTAGTCATTAAAGACAATTCATCTTGAGAGTCATTGTTGAATGGTGTTATGTCATTGAAAAATATGTCTAGACTCACCATGTACACATATAGGATATATTGGCTTATCATGGGACGTCTCCCACGAACTTACAAAGCCCTTTAGTTTCATTACCTATCCTTGGATAAACTTGCAAATTTTTTCTCCAATATTTTGCAACAAATGTTGACCATTATCAATATGTTTACTCTTACACCATGTGACATCCCCATTTTCACGGCCAGGAAAAGACCGATTTTTGTTTATGCTTTATAAAAATCAGAGTACTTCTTTTAACAAAAATGTTGCGGAATTTGTTCCCAGAAAACATGATAAATAGGTTATCAAAGCATTTCCGAGGAAATGTATTATTATTCATTTTCAAAACATTGGGATGTCATTGTCAATACAGAAATATAAGCATAAACAGAACTTACATTATTTACACTAGTGATCTACATCTCTTTTAAATTTCTCAGTATAAAGTAGCTTTGTATCGACACTTGTGATACAAATAAGCTTGAGTGGGTCAGGATGGGAAACCTGGTGAGTACATAGGGTTTTCAACCCACAATAATATAATTATTATGTTTAAACATCAAACAATCAACCCAATACCCGTCCCCATTATCTTCCTTACTCTCAAGGGTCTACCCTAAGAGTCATCTATTCGTTCATTCTGAAGTCCCTTGCCTCCTAGGGTTATAAGACAGGCACTAAGTCCATAGCTGCCAATGCTCGTTCGTAAAGCACTAAATCCATAGCTGCTAAAGTTCATTCATTGGGTACTAAATCCATAGCTACCAGTGTTCATCTAATAGGTACTAAGTCCATAGCTACCAACGTTTATCAGGTACTAAGTCCATAGCTACCAACGTTTATCCATCAGGTACTAAGTCCATAGCTACCAACGTTTATCTATCAGGTACTATGTCCATAACTGCCGATATTATTTAGGCACTAAGACTATAGCTGCTAATGTTCATTCACATCATCTTTCATCCCTCATCATTCATCTACCCATGTTTCACCCAACTTATTTGTAGATATAAAATACATATACAGTTTAAATCATATAAAACTTGTATAAAATCGTTCATCCGGCATAGATAGCAAGTATACCAATAATATACACACATAGCACGTAATTTATATAAAATACTTCATATCTATGTGTAAGATGAAAGTAACTATGCACTCACCTGATTAGGTGGTGACTTGGCACTTGAACAGCACTTCGTTATCTCAAAACATTTTTTCCTCGACCAAAACCTAGTATAAATACCACTAGGGTTTAGTTTTAACGTTAACCGCGACTAATTAATAGTCTAGCTATTATTATTATTATTATTATTATTATTATTATATAAGCGTTAAATAACACTCAATATAACTCATAATAATAGCCCAAATAATTATTTTAAGGACCTAATAACATTACTATAATTATTTAAAAGTTATATTAAAAATTGCGTAGGCGTAGCTCACTTACAGCGAATTTTAAG